AATCCAAGGCATTGGTCAATGTGCATGAACAACAGTTTATAGAAAACATTCTAAAGACTCCCCAGTGAGAACAGATGCTGAGAGTGTCTACCATTTTGGAAAAACATAACCAAAATTTCTCCAGTTTGTCAAGATTATTTGACAAATTTCGCTTTCATGAATAAAGCAGTTAACAGATATATAATTAAAATGAAAAAGAATTAGACACAAGAATCTATAAGTCACAGGTATTTGGGCCTATTTATATTTCAATGAATAGGCGAAATGGAGAAATGCTCTTTGCCAAGTAATTTATTGAAAGTCTTAATCAATTTCAAATAAAACCTCGCAGTTTAAGTCTAATTATATCACTTTCTGTTTCAAACACAGTAATTATTGGCTCTTTTCTTAATTAATATTTTCAAAATTGCTGCAGTAATTATCTACAGATGTTTAAGGTGCTATTTAAGAATATACATCCAGATGAGATGCTGTGTATCGCCACTGGTATTCAGGCACGTTGCCAACTTGTCTCCCTTCTGACAATGCTGGCTTTGAGTCAGAAGTAGAAAAACAAACAGCTGACATTTGGGAGCACAAACTTTATCCTCCTCTAATATTTTAAATGAAACAGAGAAAAAGTAATGTATACGTTATTTTGTAATTTAACCAAGAACATACAACTAGAATACAGTAATGAATGTTGTTCTACTTTTTAAAATGAAATGCACCAAAAGTCATAATTCCTCAGAAACTTGAGGATCTTACTAGTAATTTTTACCCAGAATATGCTGACTCTTTTGGCTAATACCTAGTAATGATCATTATTAAAATATAAAAATAAATGGCCACATGTTTAAGCTGGGAATGGGTACACGTGGATTTATTACACTTTCTACTTTGGGTGATGTTTGGAAACTTTCATAATAAAAAAACTATTTTAAAGAAAAATGCATAAACATAAGAGCCTGTGTTTCTATTCTGATGGCAATATTAAAGAGATCCAAATAATTTCCAGTTCAATAAATTTTCAGAAAACCTAACTAAGGACATAGCTCAAGAATTTACTTCTGAAGTTCTTATTCTGAAAATGTTAATAAAAGAATTATTAAAGTTCAAGCCCAGAGTACAGTCAGACAAGTTAGAATAGAGCTTAAGGAAACATCCCATAATTTTCAAAAAAAATGGAAAGCTCTGACTCAATGCTAGTCTGTTTTGGATAAGTCATAGTAGTAAAGAAGAATGGAACCTAATGAAAAAGAGAAAAAAATTACCTGGCCAAATTTTACTGCCGCTCTAACAGCTTCCTTTTTAAAGTCTTCTAACCCTTGCTGCTGGTTTCCATTGTGAATGTTCTCTCTTAAGGAGCTGAGCTGTAAAAGCAAATAAGAAGGCTTCATCTGTGCTCAAGGGTGGGACTATGCTCCAGTCATTAAAGCAAGCCATGGGAATTTGCAGAGGGCTTGGAGCTTTAATGTCTTCTACCTGTGCTAAATCCGTTGCAATTTGCCAATGTTAGAACCACACATTGGCCCCCAAACCCATGTCAGCAAATGTTTTAAACTTCCCACAACAAACTAAATCGGCCAGCTATCAGAACTGATTAATTCGAGGAACAGCTAATAGAGCTGTCAGTGAGCAATAAAGTGACCATGATGTAAAGGTACCAACTAGGGTCAAGGAAACCAAAGAGTCTAAATATTGTTCAGACTATAGACAATAGCAATTGTTGGTGGAAAATGATTATAACCAAGAGAGTTATTATGCCAATAGCACTGTAACCATGTTTTTAAAAGACTGTAAATTGTATCTTCTGCAGATAAATCATGAGCCATGTTTTCCTTTCCAACATTGATTTAACATGAACTTCCCAAGTAGCTCTACAGGGTAGAAATCAAATTGTTCTAAGCAGAAAGGCCGGTGTATAAGAGAAAATGAGAAAATAAATAATACATTAGTTAATTAATTAATTAAGAAGGAGAGAGATGAGAAAGAAAGTTTTATGTACCATACTGTTTCAAAAAGTAGGTATTAGGGTATGTTTACAGGCTAGTTCATAACACATCTTGTAAAGATTCTGATTTGTAACTACTTGGGGTCTTTGCATCCTTCATCAGAGATTCCTCATCATGTGCACCATGAATTTCCTTGTTCCCATCATTTCCATCAATACAAAGGAATAAGGATCAGTAGTCACAAAAACCTCAAAAAAAAAAGACTAGATAGATAGATAGATAGATAGATAGATAGATAGATAGATAGTTGGATCCTCCCATTGTTCAACATTTTAGGAAGAAGTGGATATTCATGTGATTGTTGTTCATTCATTATTTAAGAAAAAGTATTGGGATAAATCCTAGCTAATAATATCTATTTTAGGGTCAGTGTATCTCAGCATACATTTTGGGGTATGTTAATGTGCATACATCAAATGTATATGTACAACAAATATGAAATCTTAGATATACACAATGTAAAATAAAATATAAAAAATGCTCAAATGATATTTTTGTGATAGACTACAAAGAAAGAAAGAGGGATAGATGAGCTGATGTGAGGCATTTGGTCTTCAGACTTAAGACTCTAATCATAGCTTTTCCTGCAAGAAAGAGGGGCCTTCTGGGAAACCAGAGATTTTTGCGTAGTTTTCTTCATTCATGTGATCTTAACTCATAAGGCATAGCAGGTAGTTCACAAGTAGCTGATGCATAAAATGATGTTCTTATTTTCACTGAGGTATTGAGATGGGAACAGTGTGAAATTCCATATTTTAGAGTTCTACAGCTTGAGATTCCAGTCTATCCTCCTTTTTCTGCTTCTAGAAACATATGAAAAAAAGGATAATTTAAGAAGTTAAAATAGTTCAAAAGAACAAGGAAACACATACACTTTGATATTGTAAAATGCAGACAAAACACAAAACAAAAACAAACAAAATCTAGAGTAAATATCCCCAAATTCAGGTCACTTAGGATACTCCATTCCCAACTAACAATGCTGCATCTTTGTTCTCTAATTGTCCCAAGTTGGTTTTCTCAAACAAGCCTCCCTACCAGCATGTTATCCCTCCCTCCCTCCTCCTTCCCTCCCCTTTCCCCTTTCCCTCTCCCTCCTGTCTCTGCAAGGTGGCAATAGGAATAAGCAATAGGGTTAATATTTTCTGAATCCTTTTTCCAGGACCATCTACTTAACAGCACAAATATTTCAAAGAATTACATTCTTCTAGGATAACTTCCCCAGTGACAGATTTTCTCCTTTATGGATTATAAACTTGTCCTTAACATAATTTTGGAATTCTTTTGATGAACCATGTTTAGCTGAATCTGCTACCTAACAGATGCCTGAATATTTAGAGTCCCGAAGGACGATAATATTCCGTGGTTTCAAATTCCTGTGCATTTGATATGGCCATTCCTCTTATTCCTCCTTCTCTACAGCAGCCTGGAAAAAAAATGCTCACAAGGCTTATGCTTAGCATACATTCAGTTAATCGACATGTGATTTGGTAGCAGCGGCTTTCTCCCCCATCTTTATTGGTATATTTCCATTGTATTCTATATAGAGGTTCAAAAGCACACTTCAATGGAAATTTATGATGCATTTTGAATGTATTTTCCATACATTCCTGCCCTTACACTTCCCCTCATTCTCATTCCTATTTTTGTCAGCTGTCCTTGACAATCTTCTGTCATTCACACATATATGTATACATATTATTTATAAATTGATATAAAATTGATTATGCATAAATAGAAGAAAATATATTTGTCTTGAGACAGAATTAATTTACTTAAGACAATGTCCAGTTACATCTTTTTTCCTGCAAATGTCATAATATTGTTATCTTTGTGACTGAATGAAATTTCTTTTGTGTATATATGCCTCATTTTCTCTATTCATTACTCTGGTGATGAAGCTATTACAAAAGTATCAATGAAGTTTCTGCAACGAGGAATTTCTTGTAATTTTCTACAGTTAAGTTTTAAAACTGACCTTAAATATTCCAGTGAAAAAGATATTTCTAAAAAGGCAAAAAATTCAATACATTTAATTTACATTATATAAAATATGAATTCTAATTAATAATAGCTGGTTTTATGTGCTCACTTGCTAATTTTGTTTAGCACAGTATGAAAACAAGATTAACAGGAGTAGAAAAAGATCCAGGAAAAAACTTAGCAATACATTTTTAATTTATTTACTTACCTTATGAATATGCATTCTCTATCTGCATCTAAACTGTATGCCAGGAAAGGGCATCACATCCCACTATAGATGGCTGTGAGCCACCACATGCTACTGGGAATTGAACTCAGGATCTCTGGAAAAGCAGCCAGTGCTCTTAACTGCTGAGCCATCTCTCCGGCCCCCTGAGCATTACATTTTTGAAGAAAAGATCATGTTCACTTGATTCAGTACTTAATTCAATCTGGCACATAAGGCGGCTTAAACTTTAATTGAAGCTAATTGAAAAATAAAAGTCATGAATGAAATTATTCTGGGGGTGAGATTTCATGTTGTACAAACTTGAGGACCAAGGTTTGAATCCCTCGCACCCACATAAAATCCAGGTATGGTTGCCTATGAGCTGGTAACCCCAGCACGATGAGGGAAAGAAACAGGAGCATCAGTTGGACATGCTTCTGTGAGCCTGGCTCCAGGTTCAGTGAGAGACCCTGACTCAAGAGAATAAATGTTCTGCTGAGAACACCTGACATCTGACAGTCTCCTCTAATCGCAACATATTTATGGCCGGTGCTTAAACCCCACATAAATATGCCCACATGAACATACATAGATGTACACTAAATATATATTTACTAAAATAAAATTCAATTTTTTTTGCTGGTTGTGGTGGCGCACGCCAGTAGAATTTGCTGAAGGAGGCAGAGGCAGGAGGATCACGAGTTTGAAGCCAGCCTGGGCTACACATTTTTGATTTTTGTGGAACGCCAGAGAGCGAATGGTCGTGTGCTGCCTGCCTGCAGTCGCTTCGGAGTCTCCATAGGGAACCGCAGTAGGAGAGGCAGTCTCTTCTCTCTCTCCGAACTCTTGGGAGATTTTTTTGATCTTCAGCTACATTTTCAGCTTTGCGAGAAACCTTATCATCAAAGGAAATGATTAGCAATGTTACCAACAAGACAGATCCTCAATCCATGAATTCCCGTTTATTCATTGGGAATCTCAAAACACTTGTGGTCAAGAAGTCTGATGTGGAGGCAATCTTTTCAAAGTATGGCAAAATTGTGGGTTGCTCTGTGCATAAGGGCTTTGCCTTCATTCAATATGTTAACGAAAGAAATGCCCGGGCTGCTGTAGCTGGAGAAGATGGCAGAATGATTGCTGCCCTGGTTTTAGATATTAATCTGGCTGCAGAGCCAAAAGTGAACCGAGAAAAAGCAGGTGTCAAACGATCTGCAGCGGAGATGTACGGTTCCTCATTTGACTTGGACTATGACTTTCGGCGGGATTACTATGACAGGATGTGTTCCTCCTCCTGCTCCTGCTCCTGCTCCTGCTCCTGCTCCTGCTCTGCTCCTCCTCCTCCTCCTCCTCCTCCTCCTCCTCCTCCTTCTCCTCCTCCTCCTCCTATTGCTAGAGCTGTGGTGCCTTCTAAACGCCAGCGTGTTTCCGGAAACACCTCTCGAAGGGGCAAAAATGGATTTAATTCAAAGAGTGGACAACGGGGATGTTCATCCAAGTCTGGAAAGTTGAAAGGAGATGACCTTCAGGCCATTAAGAAGGAGCTGACTCAGATAAAAACAAAAAGTGGATTCTCTGCTGGAAAGCCTGGAAAAAATTGAAAAGGAACAGAGCAAACAAGCAGAAATGAAGAATGAAAAGTCTGAAGAAGAACAGAGCAGTGCCTCTGTGAAAAAATATGAGACCAATGTGAAGATGGAGTCTGAGGCAGGTGCAGATGACTCTGCTGAGGACGGTGACCTGGTGGATGACGATGACAATGAAGATGGGGGGATGACCAGCTGGAATTGACCAGCTGGAATTTTGATACCTCTTTGACTTAACAATAAAAAGATGTATGGTTTTTTAAAAAATCAATTTTTATTCAATATTTTTAAACCATTAACAATTCATTCTGGCATTTCTGTTATTACAAAGAAATATAAATGTGTAGTTTGATGAAAGAATTCTGGGTCCTGGTTTGCAAGCTGCCTTCACATAAGGTTCTTCTGAATTGGTGAGACTGCTTGTACTCCTTCAACTCTCCCTTGTCCAGGAAGTAGCTCATGAGACAGGGAGAAAACCATGTCAGGTACAGAGCATCCAGGAACCTAAGAACAGATGAGTTACATCAAGAAGAATGAGTGATTGACTGAACTTCGTTTACATGAGGTGTTAGAGAAAGTGAAGAACATTGTATGAAATGGGATTTTTGTTCACTAGTGACATCGATGAAGGTATCATTCCTTTGGAAGACTGGTGAAATATGCATGGCTATTTCTCTTTCTAGAGATGATGAAACTTAGTTTTGAAACCTAACATACATAATCTTTCAACTTTAAGGTCTACCCTCTTAACTACTATAATTCTTGCCTTTAGTAGAATTCAATGTGATTATGATCTATATATGTAATTTTCAGTTTTGTTATCATTTTAGATATAAAGTAATTGAAAAGTTATTCATTGCAAAACATATTTGCCAATCTGTGTGGGATTTTAAATCAGTAATTACAGACATAACACAATTATGTGACTGTCTTGGGCCTCTATTCATGGAGAGAAAATGGATTGTTAAGTACTTGGAAATGCCTGTTGAGGGTCTCAAATGTCTTTTAAAAATTCTTCAAGCATTTAACATGAAAATCCTGTAGAAGAGGGTCTCCAAAAATATAAAATCCATTTTATATCTTTGAAATGGAAGAGAAAGTCTTACCTCTGATTGCTTTGCATACACAGTAACACTGCTAACCTCAGAGGCGTCTGTCTAGAAGGGGATCTGTAAAGAACTCATTTTTATCCCACTGTTCAGATGCAGCAGTGGGAGGCTGGTTCTCACCTACTGCATTCTTAGAGCAAAAAGGGGAAAGTGTTCCACTTCTACTTTTCCTTGTTCATGTCTTTTCTGAACTCTTAAAAGCTCATACACAACTAATAGAATAGAGTTAAAATGGAGAACTGGGAAAAGCAGAAGATTAAGTCAAAGACTGACTTGGTGTTCTCTACCCTCTGGGCTGCAGTGAGCAAAATTAGGTTCACAGGCTACATTCCAAAAGAGACAACTCATTGTTAGATGACTTTGTTTATCTTAGTGATTACTGAAAGGTGTTTCCATTTTGTTTGCATTGGTCATTTTTTTCTCTTCTACTCATTTCTCTGCTGTTTAGCTTTGCTTTATTTTTTAATCATACTTCCAAAAAGGAACAATAGGAGACTTCAGAAAAGCATATTCTCATACACTTTGGTGAAATCCTTTTTTGTGGCCTTTGTAGGAATTGATCATAGGTATTATAATTAAAAATATAAAGGTTCTGGCTTGGACAGATGGATCGTGGCTGAGAGCATTTGCTGTGGAATCAGAAGAACTAGAATTCTGATCCCAGTATCCACATGACAAGCCAGGACTCCCACAAACATCTGTAACTTCAGCTCCAAGAGATCCAATGTCCTCTTTTTGGTCTTCATATATACAGAAGCACTCAACCTATACACACATGTGTACATACATCACACATACACACAAACAAACAAACAAATAAGTAAAAATGTTCAAAATAAATTTTTTCCTCCTAGAAACCCTATTTCCAGAAATCTATGACAAGGGAATTGAACTGTGTGCACAAATATATAGGAAAGGATGTTTTAAAATGAAATGTTCAGATTTGCAAAGAACTGTAAAATGGAAATCAACTCAACGAATTAATCTATATTCAATTCTTTTATAACTCAATCAGTTATGATATATCCATCATGGAGTAGTATGTAGACTTTTAAATAGTACCCCACTGGAAAGGAGATATATTATAAAGAATGGATTAATTATGACTACACAAAGTGAATATTCTATGATACAATTTTCACAAAGCCATAATCAAAAACCATGCAAATGCATAATGGTAGTTAGGCACACTATAATTTTTATATTTTAATTATTACCATGTAAGTATACTTTATAACCAATGACTCCTTTTTCCGGTATTTTTTAAACAAATGATGATTTTACTGGGTTGACCTTTTTCAGATGACTACTTTTGTTCATTTGTCAGTCACTGATACATATTTTACAAGCTTAAGCTTTCATGGTGACACTTCAAGTTAAGATCCCTATGCACAGTTTATGAGAAACCCTGGGGCATGAATATAAAATAACTTGGCTCAGCCAGGACACAGATCTGACAGTCAATGTAACTGGTTTTTCTACAGAAGAAGCTTCCCAAATAAATATGTACTTTAGTATTAACTAAATAGCACTAAGATCTGTTAGTCACTGCCTTATTGTTGTGATAAGAATGCCTGAGAAAACAAATAAGGAAGGAAGGATTGAAGGGGGATTCATGTTTGGCCCAGTGCTTACAGAGGTTGGCTCCATTGCTTTTGCATTCACGGGTGATGAGGAGGGCATAGCAGAAGAAAAGTTCTTATAGCAGAACAGCCAGAAAGGTGTGTGTGTGTGTGTGTGTGTGTGTGTGTGTGTGTGTGTGAGAGAGAGAGAGAGAGAGAGAGAGAGAGAGAGAGAGAGAGAGAGAGAGAGAGAGAGAGAGAGAGAGAGAGAGAGAGAGAGAGAGAGAGAGAGAGAGAGAGAGAGAGATTCAATGAGTGGGTATGAGAAGGCATGTCTCCCAGTAACGCACTTCCTCCCACCAGGCTCTGAATCCTAACTGTCCAGTAATCTGTTTATTCCTCAGCAAATGACTCCACTGATGATGTCAGACACACCCTGAACCAATAATCTCCCAATAGCCTATCAACCAGAAACCAGGGCTTTAGCATGTGAGCATTTGCTGGCCAAGAACACTTCATTTGCTGGCTGTAAAAAATACACAGATGTCTTCTTCAATAACTCCCAACCTTATTTTTTGAGACAGCTTACCACACTAACCCTGGAGGTCACTAATTTGACAACATTAGACAGGCAGCAAGCTCAGGGATCCTGCTGTCTGTACCTCCTCAGTGCTTCATTATAAGCACAGACCACCACACATGGCTTTTTACATTTGTGCAAAGGATCCAAACTCAGGTCCTTAAGTTGGATGCCAAGCACTTTGCTGACTGAGCCATCCCCTCAACCCCCTTTCTATTTTCCTATTTGGTTCTCACAGCTTTCATATTAAGAATTCTGAATCTTTTGTATATTGCCTGGGGTTTTCACTAGCAGATAGCCATTTCTAGCTCCAGGTGTCTTTTGTTTGGTTTTGTTGTGGTTTGTTTTGTTTTGTTTTGTGCTGAGGATCGAACCCAGATCCTCTTGAAGGCTAGACAGAGTTCATTACCTGACTATGCCTTCTAACCCTAGCCAGTCAGTGTTATGAACATTAAAATACCGTGGCATCATGGTGTCTGAGAAGAGCTTGAATGGATGAAAATGATAATCATGTACATGAAGGTACATAAAGTCAACAGTACTTACCATGTACTTAATATGAGTAAGTCCCTTGGGTATTCAATACAAAAATAACTCCCTCTTGTCTGCTCACAAGAATCACAGGATCACATTGAACATCCAAATATAAAATATAGGGAAGAAATACATACAGTGTTAAATGAGTGATCACACAGCTGAGCTCTTGTTCTTCTAGTGAAAGACTGCTAAGTTGTGTAGTCAGGTAAATCCTGCCATATATACATACAGTCACAGTAAGACATGGGTGGTTACATGGAAAAAATGAAAGTAAAGTAAATGTGAAGGGATTTCTTAGACGAAATCATAAAAAGTAAACATAGGTGAAAGGGCTCAGCAAGTATAGGTTTTTGTTGCCTAGGCTGATGGCATGAGTTCAATTCCTGGAACCCACATGGGAAAAGGAGAGAACTGACTGCTATAGGTTTTCCTCTGACTTCCACATGTGCACAAATGTATATGTACACACACACACAGAGAGAGAGAGAGAGAGAGAGAGAAAGAGAGAGAGAGAATTAAAGACTTAAAAAGGAATGAAGCATAGATCTGAATTCATATTGCTTTCCTAGGAAATTATGAATAGACCACCCCTGTAGTCAAGAAGATCTTTAATATCTGTCGAAAGATCTGGAATTTTAACAAGTTTTCATCATCATGACAGATAATGAAGACTGCCTTTAGTACTAGCAGTATCAGCTATCATAGAGATTCATAAGAAGAATATTTAAAATAAAACTTGTTTTATTGTTTCACTACTCGTTAGATCTTATTCTTAGATGAAAGAACCCCTGTCAATTGAACAGGCCATTTGGGGTCCAAATGTAAAGCTGAATCCCATGTCTGTATCCGGAGGTAATTGTATCAGTAGGTCTGCAGCTGCAAAGAAACAAAACCCTTTCACGGATGGTTTCAATAAGTGAGGTAGTAATTATCTCACAGGACCACAGCTCAGAAGCAGGAGGCTGTTGGCAGTGGCACAGAACCCCAGCTAAGGCAAAGCCAGCATTCTAATTCTCAAGCTTCCCATCTCATGGTCACAACTTGCCTGTTACAGCTCTGGGTAAAGGGACTCACAAGATGGCTCCAGCCATGTCTCTTCTTTGCGCAAAGAAAGCAAAAGCCAGGAATTGTGCCAGGAAAGCAAAAAGGTTTGAAGAATGTGCAACTGGGAAGAGTGGGGAGCAGAGAATCAATAGCCAGTCCCAGGTCAGCCACAGGTGTGAATAAAAGTCAAAGAATTCACTTAGAGACAGGGAAGCTTCAGTCAGCACAGCAAGAGCACAACAAAGAACTCGGAGGAAGATGCTCTGAAATATCTATGAACAACTTTTAAATCTGAGTACACACACACACACACACACACACACACACACACACACACACACACACACACCAAATGAATGAATGAATGAATGAATGAATGAATAAATAAATAAATAAATCCAAGCT